TAGGGAAACTCAAGTTCAGCTAGAGTAGCGCAATAGTATTAAAAATAAAATCTTTCCTTTATGATCCAAACAGACTTTTACAACTTATTTCTCTTTGTGTCATAGGACTTCAAACGTCAAATGTGTTAAATCATGATTCCTATAATTAAAGTAAAATGATGGTTTCGGCATCATATATGCCCAACACATACTGTGTCAACAAACCCACAAGAAGTGCTGAATGGCCGGATCAACACAATGACCTAAAGTGTTTGTTTGCCAGAAATAATGTTCAAAATGCATGAAGATTCTCCTGATGCCTGATTTAATCCGAACCGCAACAGAAAAAACATATATTATTACCGAAAACAAATAAGCCGTTACAATCAACACACTCGAAAAAGAAAATACAGCAACACGACACAAATAATCGAACAAGAGTAGGATCTCAGGGTGGTAGTGAAGATCGGCAGGAGTTTGGAAAGGTGGCAGAAGGGTAGAGGATGGGTTGAAAATGGGGAAACAACAACACAACAATGGTCCCTTTCTGTCCTGGGCGGCAACACACAGAAAAGAGCGGAAACAGCAAAAGAGAACAGTAAGACAAGCTGCAGCACATTGATGTTTGGGTGGCAGCAAAAAGGTAGAAGGGAGCAAGGAACAGCAGGTCAAACAGCAACAGTTTGCTGTTTGGGGGTAGCAGCAGCAAGGTAGAGGGGTCTTGGGTGGCTATGAGAGTTGCAAGCTGGTAGGAATGGCTGGGACAATAGGGTGACAGCAATAACAAGTGGTAGGGACGGCTGGTGTGATGGAACGGGTAAGAACAGCAATTACTTGCTGTCCGGGATGGTGGCAGCAAGCCGAAATGCGGATAGCAGCGGCTGGAAGATGGAAAAACTGCAGGTAAACAGCAGCAGGCAGCGGCTGCAATGAAGAGCAGCCGGAAGCGATGTGGGGAGGATGCGAAAGGAAATCGGGAATATAATCATCACCACAGGAGAAAGATACAGAGAAGCTCCACCCAATCACTTGGATACAACCTCGAAAGAAGAAACAGATGCCAACGGCTGTCATAAACAAAACACATGAAAAACTAACTTGCAAACCCTAATAAAACACATAAATAGGAAAGGACAAAAAGGAAATGAAGAATAATAGGAATTAAAACATAGGAAAAGAAAATGAGATTATTGCAGCCCGTCTCCCATAATAACAATTCTTGCGGTACTATAGCAACTACACTACCGCGGCAAGATCCCATGTCACTCCCTCAAAATGTTTTTTGCATCAAAAAATAACATTTTCTCACTAGTGTGGACCTTTGAATCGCGTCATTAAGCTAAATATATATAAAAAATTAGGGGCATTTACATATGTATATCTGTAGCACGCAGTTCTTATGTATTTACATGTCTCAGGCCTAAACTTTCATATTTAAATACAACACTCAACTCTTTAATATCACATAAAAAATAGAACTTTTATCACTTTTTAAAAGTGAAATATGCATTTTCATACATGGGTTTAAGGCACCAAAGTTCTATGTATGTAAATATGAAAGTTCAGGTGTGATACATGTAAATACAGAAGAAATGGGAACTTGGTATGCAAATTTCCCAAAAAATTAATATAATGAAACATGGGTAAGGGAAATAAGGGATCTAATACTCCCAGAAAGATGGAGAATAAACAGAACAAATGAAATGTGATTAACCAGGAGAGAATCTCTTGCCATATAGATTCAATCTTCCAATTCACAACCATGCAAGGTAAAGATCAATAAAATGGCACTATCTGGTAAATTTCCTTGAATCTTTTCTTTCAGTTTTTTTGTGTAAATTTTGATGCGAAAATCCATTCCCACAAGTTCTCGTCAATTTTCTCCAACCCAACAGGACAAAAAAATAAAAATTCAAAATCAAACAATACTAAATGGCATTCATAATCACTTCTTACCTCCTTCATTTCCGTTGGAATAACATCAAAATAGAAGTCCTCTGACAATTTCTCTCTCCTCTCTTTGTTGTATAAGCATATTGTCCCATAGAAAGGCTCTTAAAGACACACAATAGACACGTTGATTATATAAGCACTAAGATACTGAAGGGCTAAAAAATTGGAGAATACTAAAGAGAAAACATGCACCAGTTAATCCAGCTTGGAATGATAATGATAAAACTTTCACCGATATCTTCAATCCACTGCAATCAATGAATGTGAATATATAATTATGATGAAGGTTAACAAAAAGACAACAACAGATTAATCATTAAAAGCATGTAATTATGGAATTGAATTATCAAGATATTCAAAACAGCAGGTGGTTGACCTATCACGTTGAGTTTGTAATGGTTCAGGAGTTCTTTGCCCGAAAATTGATAATCTTTCATTTTCCCAGTCAAATGTGGGTTCATACGCTGGCAATGGAGAATCACCAAAATGCTGAAGCAGAAATGTTTATCAAGCAAAAGAAAATATTCAGCGATGCAACCAAAAACAGAAAAAGAAACAGAAAAGTGAGAATTTACATAAAAAAATATATGGATAACCCATCCCACAAGTAAACACTCAAGGTACTGAAACTACACACTGAATAGGACAACAAAACAGGCCAGAGAAGCCACACGGAATGCAACCCGTAATCAACATATAATACCAAGCCAGAAAAAATAATGGTATTTACATACATACCACCCAATTCTTATGTAGTTACATAACTAACACATAAATTATACTTTTTTACATATATACCAGCCAAATGTTTCATATCAAACAAGGAAAACCACCGTTTTAACTTTTAAAAAAAAGAAATGCACCTCTTCAAGCATAAACAACATGGCAAATATGTAAAAATTGAAGTCTAGGTGTTAGATAATACATAGGAATTAAGTGGTATGTACGTAAATCTGACAAAAGAATAAAGCTAGAACTTGGATTTTTTTTTTTTTTAAATCATTTGCAAGACCAGAAAATTCATTTCAAGTACCACCTTTGCATCTTTTAAATGTGATGAATAAGAGCAAGATTCTGAAATTGGTCTTCCCGAGGTGCTAGGGACATCATCATCAGTAAAATCATCAATCTCGGAATCCCTTGCACGAGTAAGTCGCATTTCTAAGACAAGAAAATGAACAACACGTCAACAAATATTATCATTTCAATTTAAACCCATTTTAAAAAAAAAGTAAAGTTCACCATTATTCAATCACCTGTTTCCATGTCAGTGTCAATGCCTTCATATATCTGATTTTGAAATGAAAACGACGAAACACAGTCATAACGTCCATATTTGTACTCATCTTTTATCCAATCTGCCTTGTAGCACTGTACCAATTCGTTTAAATGTGGCCACTGCTCCAAATTCTCATCAAGCTAGAAAAGGATGGCGAAAAGAATAAATATAAGCAAGAAGAAAGATAAAGGAATGGTCGCTACAGTTTTAGTGTTTAAGTTGTAGCGCATATTGGTTCGCCCTGCAGAGCCTGAAAAATTATAAGAAGTTGTTTGGAATAAACTTTATTTTTTAGTTTTATGTTATTTTTATTTATATTTTTATTTGAAACACAACATGCTTGGCATATTTAATTAAAGCATGACTTTTTTAAAAAAACTCAAAACACCTAAAAGTTATTTGAGTGCTCCTAAAATGAGATTAATTTGTTCATAGAAATAAAAAATAAAAATATGTAAAATAAACAAACATTTTCTAAAAAGAAAAGAAGATTAAAATAAAATTGTTAAAATAAACAAACATTTTCTAAAAAGAAAAGAAGAAGATTAAAATAAAATTGACCAAAAAGAAGCCCTAAGAGAATAAATAGTGCGGCATGTCAAGAGTGAAAATTGAGAAAACACAATTTTCAAAAGCAATATGACCAACACACATTTTAGAAACATAAATTATTACAACTAATAGAATGTGAGCATTCTAATCAAATGTTATACTAGAAAAATTATAATAAAGCTACTACAATAGCCAAGTTTCTTAAAAAAAAAAAAAACTTTATGATTTAATTTATCTACTACAATAGCCAAGTTTCTTAAAAAAAAAAAAAAAAACTTTATGATTTAATTTATCATCTCAACCCCCACCTCCAGGCAGCTTCAACGATTTGAATACCAAGTTGGATCTTTAAAATATGATACCAAAATCAACCCAAACCGCTGTAGAGATAGAAATATTATTGTTTAATTCAAATGGGGTTACAAAAACGACAGTTCAAAAAAAAAAGTGATAACAAACATAAAACGACACAAGCAAACACCGCTAAAGCATATCCCAAGGTCGTTGAGGTCGGATAGGTGGATCGGGATGGTCGGCGGGGGTTCCGGCAGCAAAAGAATGTTGATAGTAGCGATGGGGAAGTGTAGAAATGCGAGGAAAACAAGTATGGAGGCCGTCATGGGTGATGGTAGCAAGGAGTGGGGGTGGACAGTGATGGGACAGTATAAGGTAGGTGATCCCTGGCTAACCTGGACAGCAGCGCCACAGTGGGAAAGCTGAGACAGCAGGGAGGTGTGGTTTGGGTGGCAGCAAAGTTGGAAGGAGGTGGGAGGCAACTTGGAAGCTAAGGCGGCAGAAAACAATTAACAGAAGGTTATTTTGGTCGGTTGCAGTGATATACAGCAACCGAGAGCGACGGAGGAGGATGTGGAAAAAAATTGGAAGAAAATAATCACGACATTGGGAAAGAGATAGCCAGAACATCATACAATCCTTCGGATATAGCTCTCAAAATGAAAAAAGGACGTCGACAGCTGTCCTGACAGAAATTTGAAATAAAACTCGCCTAATTCTAACCCTAAGAAAGCAAACAACATATTATTAATAAGTAATGGTAGTTAGAATAGAAAGGAGTTAAAATATAAAAAAATAGAAAAAAAGGGATCAAATAGAAAAAAGTGTATGTGGTATTGTAGCTGCTACAGTACCACGACACAAGCTCCAGCGTCAAACTCTGAGGATTGAGGTAGCTTCAACTTCATTCGTTAAAGCTTCTGGTTCCTTGTAGCACGGAGTTAAGTCTGCCACATTGATGGTAGCATAGATATTGCAATACCTTAGGAGGTTGATCAAGTAGATATTGTCATTCCATAACATATTTTGAAAGAATAAATAAGCATCCTCCCTTTTCACATCATAAGTTGGATTTGCATATATATATAGGTTCCCATAATGTAACTTTTGAGCCCTTCAGTCTAAAACATTATTCTTCCACTTCTCGTACTAGGCGGAATGTAAGTAATAAACTAGTATGTGATCAGAAGTCAACTCTGACGTGAAATCTGTGAGAGGCTACACCACTCTCACTAGCAACCACTCAAGAGAGCCCTCTTCTTCTACACTGAAAGGACCTGGATCCTATTAAAAAATTTCCATCCCCACCAAGGTCCTACAACAAACTTCTAGGATAGGGTTCATCTCTCCTATCTGGACATCTGATGATGGATAACATGTTGAACAAAATCTAATAAATAAATAACTCCATGTAATCTTCCAGACGTGGCACAAAAGGGTCTCATCTCTAACATAATGGACCTCCCTCAGTAGGAGCAACTCGTATGAGTATGGATCTAAAAGAACTGAATCTCTTATCTGGGTTTGTCATGTGTCAGATATCGGCTCTAGGGGAGTAAATGAGTCGAACACGAGCGAGTCTAGGCTCAACTCGTTTTCGGCTTATCAAAAAATATCATTGTTTGTGTTTAGCTCGTTTATATTTCGAACACAAAAAATGTGCTCGTGTTCAAACTGTTTCCTTAGCGAGTCTAATACGAGCTGTTCGTGAACAAATAGTCGTTTTAATAACCCATGTTAAGAGCCGTGACAAGATATAAATCTTATTATTTATATTAGAATATCATTTAAATATAATTGTACATATTGTTATTCTATGTTTTTAATTAATACTTTTAATTCATTATAAATCTTTGTAGTTTTGTCGTCAATTAATTTTTTTTTAAAAATATTATTCATCAATTACATTATATATATAATTGATGACAAGTATTTCGAGCCAAAATGAGTTGAACACGAACAAAGATTTGTTTGTTCGTGTTCGGCTTGTTTAAATATGGAGCGCAAAAAAAATTATTCATGTTCAACTCGTGAGCTTCTTAATGAGTCGACACGAACTGTTCGCAGACAACAAGCCATTTTGACAGTGCTAATTGGATCGCAAAACTCATGGCCTCTTTGGACATCCAAGACTAATTTTGTTGATGCTCCCCTCAATGACTGCAAAATGCTGGCTCGAGGCACCATAATCTCGTACTCTATCTAAATGCCCATTACATCAGTCACTGCCTTCTAGAACAGTTACCGTTACCTCAACTAGAATCTCTATCTTGAGGTCAACTGGAATCGATGGTGTCTCTTCCTCGTTGGCTAAAAATTGAGAATCTTCTCTGAAGTCTGCATCTCAGCATAATCGCTTACCTCTTTAACTGAAAGCTGGCTCTTCTACTTTGAGTCATCACCGTCTTCAGTTTCTACTATAACATTACCCAATTGTTGAAGAATGTCTTGCTCCATGAAACAGATCACCCCCTCGGTTGAGCAGTTTGATTCAACATACCCAAATCCATAGCACTCGCAATACTTCCTAGTTGAAACAGATTTAAGAATACGTTTTAGTTCCACGTGTTATCCACTCTAACTCAGCTTTTGCTCTAACGAGGTCAGCTAATCTAGTTGTAAAATCCTAAGGTTGAGCGTTGCGAGTAAGACGTGGTGGTTATCCGGTGAAGTGATCTCTTCACTTCTGAAGTTAGTATGCGCAGGATCTCTAGGTTCATCTTCAGATTCTCCTGTTCTCCACATGCTGGCTCTTCTCTCGGAGTCCTTTTATATTGGATTCCAAAAAGTCGTGGTCGGTCTTCTGCATCACTAAAGTCCTCCCTCTAGAAGGGATTTAGATCTTCGTCTCTTGCTCTCCCTCAATTCTCCAGATCCCAGTCGAGGGTAATCTCCCCCGGGTTACATCCTCAATATTTGCAAGCCTCCGTTGAAGTTAACGGATCTCTCGATGTATCTCCTCTCAGGTGGGCTCGGGCATATATCACCTTGGTGATATGGCTAGGTTTAAGGTTGCGAGTGAAAGAGGGTTTAGAAGCTCATCGAATGTTTAGGAAAACTAATTTGGGGTTGCTGATTTTGAAAATCAGCAAGAGAAAATTAAAGTTTAAGGTTTAGGTGGCAGCGAGGGGGAAGTGTAGAAAAATAGAAACAACAAGCATAAATGTGGTCCTGGGTGATGGCAGCGAGGAGTGGGGGTGGATAGCTATGGCACAGCAGGAAGGAGGTGTTCCCTGGCTGTCCTGGGAGTCAGTGGCAGAGGGAAGGCTGAGATAGCAAAGAGAATGTGCAATTTGGGCGGCAACAAAGCTGGAAGGAAGTGGGAAGCGACTAGGAAGTTAAGGCGATAGAAAACAGCTAACGAAGGCTGTTGTAGTTGGTTGCAGCGATATACAACAACGGTAACGAAGTTAAGGCGATAGAAAACAGCTAACGAAGGCTGTGAGTACAACAACGGTAACAATACAACAACGGTAACGGTGGGGGAGGATGTGGAAGGAGATGGGAGAAAGAATCGCCACAGAAGATGGATATAGCCGGAGCAACAAAATATAATGTGTAAAGGGCCGTTAGGAACAGTAACAGCCACTAATATAAACAAATAGGTGCAACAAGGAAAAAACGCATACAAACAAGTTATGCATAATTAAGAAAGTAATTAGTAAGACTGACCAAAAAGATTGAATAAATTATGCGAACACCTAATGCTTTATCATATTGAGAACTGTTGTTGCCAAAAAAAAAAAGTACAAAAAAAGCTTTGTACATCATTTTCCCTCCTACATTACAAAGTGCTAGAGAACTAATGGAATAAATTATTATAAAGCACCATGAACACAAGCCCACAATAGGATTGAGCTAGAAAATATTAATAATTAAGCAATCTCAACTATTCTTTGAGCAATCCCAACTCAGTTCATTCAACTGATCACAACTAATATGGACCATGAACTTGTCATAGCAACTTTATATATGGCATGGAATTAGAGTAATTTAATGAAAATAATTTTCCTAAAAAGATTCTCGCAAACATTTAAAAAAAATGTAACAAACCCATGGATATTGCTCCAAATTGGTAGCCCATGACTTGCGCTGTATCTTCTTAAATCGTTGAGCATCATATGGGATATCCTCCAATGCCTACATCAACATTCAATAAGTTAACATCGTATTAAGAAAAAGAGATAGAAGTAAAATAGCTCAACTTACGGAAAGAAAAAATCAATACAAACAGTCACAATGCAGGATGACGAACAGTAAGCATTGAGGAAGGAAGAGAAGAGGAGGAGAGTGAGAAGGTATCTGCTACTGACCTTTGGCTTAGCTAGAGTGGGGATGAGGTGTGAAAGAGAAGGAAGCAGAGCAAAAGGTGGAAGAGGAGTTGGATGAATTACGGGACCAACCTCTTTAAATTAAATGCATAGATAATTTGATCAACAAAGCAAGGGATATCTGCCCATCTATTGCACTCGTACAAAAAAATGATATACAGCTGATAGTATTTAACAAAACCACAAAAAATTAAGAAGAATCTTATGAGAGATATCATAGATCCATCAAGAAAGACGCAAAAACCCATGGATCCATGTTTGCAATAATCCCTTTTGCTTGATTGATGAATAGTAATTGTCCTCCAAGACTTGTATGTTACTAGTAGTTGAAAAGTCCTAAGAAGAGTTGAGTATGGACAATGAAAGCATTGTGTGATTCCAACAATTGAATACCCCATCTTAGCTAAATAGTGAAGTGAGAAATCTTTTACTACATTGAAAGCCTTAGTTCTTGAAAGTTCTCTACAATGAGGGTACATTCGGGGCGGCGATGCAGTGTTAGCACCACACAGCAATTTTTCCAGTCAGGCGTCTGCATTATCAGAAAGCTACAGCTAAAAGCTGCATTTTTCCACCAAATCTGACTATCTGTGTTAGCTACTAAAAAGCTGCAGTTTGACATTTTCAAAAAAAAAAAAAAAAAAAATTTGGTAATAGCCATTGCAACTTTTTGAACAACAACTTCACAGTTGTTTCTTCAAACAACAACAACTGCCCCAAAAGGATCCTAACTTTTATTTTTTAATTTTAAAATACATTGATTTTGCATATCTCTTAAAAAGGAAATGACTTTAGCGTCATTTAAAAATCTATAGAATTGATTTTTGTGTCATACAAAACGTGTAATCAATACTACCCTACAACAATCTTCATGTATATAAAGATGAGGGAAAAATCATCCAACCAACCGATACAAGCACTCATATACGTCATTGGAAAAAATAAATTTTTGATATTATAGATTAATTCAGAACTTACATATTTTTCAACGAACTAGAACAGAGTTCCATAAATAGTACGTGAGATCTCGCTTCATATGATCAAATAAGACCATCAATATATATGATTGTGGCCTCTCTTAAACCTGAACGAAGGCATTGCAATAAAAAATGAACGATTTCTCGAAATGCTCCCTCATATTACATGACTAGTCAAGGCTATATAACACAGACAAACTTTCCACTCCAACACGCCTTAGAAGTGGGGGCAACAATAAATAAGATCCCAAAGTTCTAATATAAAATATTTGAAATTTTCAGTAAATTTAAACAATCCATTAAAATTTGTAATACTTGCACGCAGTATCTGATAATTACCTGACAAGTAATTTATAACAACTAGGAAAAGTATATGATATTGGATATGCCTAATTTCAAAGAAAAATCTACAAGACGTTACATATAATTGAATACAAAATTACAGAGGTCGTTTATGTGGAAATTTATTTCACAACTACGCAAAGATATATAAATCCTTTTATCATGATAAAGATATTAATTGTTTAGATATATTTATTATTTCATTGATGTAATTTATAAAACCTCTAAATTTACATCCATTGTGAATGATGTCATGAATGTTATAAATGCTTCTAACATCAAATCTTTGTTATAAATGCTATGTTGTAAACCAATAATACTTTAATCGATTATCATATATGTTGAGTTATATCACTTAGAATACACTATTGTGTTAAGGTCATTGCGTTATGTCACAGCTATTGCAATTGTACTCTCTATCGCATCAACATGCATTATAAGTCATCATCAAACTACAAGTGAACAACCTTTGAACGTTGATCAACACATTTCGATCCATCTTCAATCAAGACTTGAATAATTTTTAAATCACCATTGAATTATGATCGCACCATCTTTAACCATGATTAAACCACCTTCAGAACACAATCGAACCATTTTCAAACAATAATTGAATAATGATCAAACAATCTTTACACCATGATCGAAATATGTTTGAATCATCTTCAAACCACAATCCAACCATATTTTGACGACAATCATATAATGATCAAAGTATCAAACCATCTTCGTTTTATGACTACATTTTTACCATAATCAAATCATTTTCAAATTATGATCCAACCAACTTTCAACTACAATCAAATAATGAACAACCATAATCAAATTATGATCGCTAAAACTTCAAATCATGGTCAAACCATCTTCAAATCATTTTCAAACAACAATCCACCAATTTTAAAATAAAATATCTTCAAAAATGATCCAAACATTTTCAAACCACAATTGAGCAATAATCTAATCATCTTCAAACCTATTCCGTATAGTTCAATTTCAAAAAGTAATGTGAATACAGAAGATAATCCCTTATTAAAAGTATTTTGGCCCCAATAAAAATATCTGGAACATTTTACTAAGAAAACAAACAACAAACATATTTCTTTAATTTTCTCTATTATTGGGCAATATAAAATTATTAAAACGTGTGAATGCTTTAGATATTTCGGGTTCATTGTTCAAATTGATGGTGATATAGAATTCAAGTTGGTTGGTTGAAGTGGAGGAATGCTTGAGGCATATTGTGTGATAGAAAAGTAACGCTTAGACTTAAAAGAAAATTTTATAAGATGGTGGTGAGACTTGCAATGCTCTATGGCGCAGAATGTTAGCCTTTTAAAAGAGAAGCATAAAACAAAGTTAAGTGTTGCCGAGATGAGAATGCTTAGGTGGATGAGTGGCTTGACACTTAGAGACAAAATGCGAAACGAATATATCCGTGATAGAGTTGGTGTAGCTCCAGTGGCGGACGAAATTAGAGAGAGTCATCTTAGATGGTTTGTTTAAATTAAACGTCGACCATCTGATGATCCGGTTAGGAGAGTAGATGTTTTACATTCTACTTATGTTAAGAAAGACTGAAATAGACCTAGAAAGACTTGGGTATATTGTACAAAAAAAGATCTTAATTTATTAGATTTAAATGAAGATATGACACTCAATAGGACGCAATAGAGAAAAAAAATTCATGTAGCCGACCCCACTTAGAGGGATAAAGGCATGTTATTGTTATTATTGTTGGGCAATATAAAATCAAAATCCCCTTCTTGCCTTCATTCATTTAAGTCGTTATCTATCATGATTATGTCATCAATATAAACTTATAGTGTGGAGACTCCAATTGAAGTCTTAATTTTCACAAATTATGTATGGCCACCTTAACTTTTTCACCTAAAGTTGGCCATTAGCTTAATTTATCCTCTAAACCATGCCCTTCAATAAGGCTTCAATCCATACACAATCTTTTATAGTTTGCAAACATTTTATTATGAATTTGAGCTAGATCAAGATGGGACCTATATGTACATTTCTTTCTCTAGATCACTGCATAAAAAAAATTCCTCACATCAAATTGTTGTATCTTCCAATTCTCATTAGCAAATGCTAATAAAAGAACCCAAACAATGGTGAATTTAACAATGAAAGCAAAACATTTCAAGATAATCAATCCCATATATTTGAGTGCAACATTTAGCCACTAATCTACTTTGCAACACTACAATGAACCTTTGAATTTGTATTTTACAATAAAAACTCTTTTATGTTATACTGATTTCTTTTATTTAAGTGATGACGCTAAACCCATAGCCTTGTTCTTTTAATGGGCTTTAATTTCTTTTGACATAAAATTTCCAATTTGCATTATTCAGTGTTTAAAGACAATTTGAAATATACAAGTGGGATGAAGGCTAGTAAGGATAATGACTATTAAAAAATTATATAATAAAAACAAATGTAACAAATGTTTAGTGGAAACTCTTGTACCTCATTTATAGAGCTAGTGGTTCCCAATACAAATTCAATAATGAGTTAATTCGATTAATTAGGCTTGCATATATTGAGTGATGTGGGTGCGAAGAGCCTTGCGTGGACGAGACGCAGGTGCGATAAGGCTCTCGTACGAGTTGAAGCAACGGACCAGCCCCAACTGGTCCAATTGGAAACAGGTCCAGGGGGTTCTCGAGCCGAGCAGCCCGAGCGAGCCTCCTGACAAGGCAAGCAGCCTACAGCTCCTCTGTCAGCCTTCCAGTTCTGCTTCTTCTTCGTATGGAAGGATTTTAATAGCTATTTTTGGATTTTCTAACCCCCCATCTCCTCCTTTTGTGTAATAAGTTTCCTTCTTTAGTTCTTTCCTTTCCTTCATCAATGGGAGTCTATATATTACTGTTTTCAAAGAGTTAGGGTAGTTTTAGTTGTGCGTTGATTTCAGATTTCATGTGTGGAATCGTTTTCACTGTTCTAGGGCTATATTTGACAAGGTGGTGGTAGTCCATCTGTATCCTACTCCGAGATAGTGATTGTATCTCCCATTTTATCTTCTCTACTCCATCTCCTCCACTTCCCTTAGCCGTCAGCTATCCCCAACCATTTCCCACCGCGCTGTCGATCTTGTTTTTGCTGCAGTAACTTGCTGCCCAACTATTTCCACTCCACATTTCCTAGCAGTCAGCCATCCCAACTGATGTCCCGCTGCTCCCAGCTGCTACCCCACCTTCCCACCAACCTCCACTGCCCTTGGGAAACAATCTCCAAGTGTTCGTTTGTGTAGTTTGTGTATTGTTGATGTTATTTTCAGTTTGTGTTTTGTAACCCTCTTTTTCTACTAATAAAAGTTGTTTTTATGATTTGGGTTTTCTCCTCTAGTATCATTTTGTATCAGAGCCCAACCCTAATCATATTCTAGGGTTCCCTAACATCCGTCATAAACCAAAACTTTCTTTCCTACCACCAGATATCATTTCCACAACCCAAACCCTAACCCCAACAAAAATGT